ATGTGATATATGCCATCATGTGCCAGCAATGCCCCTCTGCCGTGTACATTGGTCAAACTGGACAGTCTCTACGTAAAAGAATAAATGAACACAAATCAGATGTCAAGAATTATAACATTCATAAACCAGTTGGAGAACACTTCAATCTCTCTGGTTACGCGATTACAGACATGAAACTTGCGATATTACAACAGAAAAACTTCAAATCCAGATTCCAGCGAGAGACTGCTGAATTGGAATTCATTTGGAAATTGGATACAATTAACTCAGGCTTGAATAGAGACTGGGAGTGGCTAAGTCATTATGCAAGGTAACCTATTTTCCCTTGTTTTTTCCTCCCCCCCCCACCCCCCCGCCCAGACGTTTTTGTTAAACCCTGGATTTGTGCTGGAAATGGCCCACCTTGATTATCATACACATTGTAAGGAGAGTGATCATTTTACATAAGCTATTACCAGCAGGAGAGTGGGGTGAGGAGAGAGAAAATCTTTGGTAGTGATAATCACCCATTTTTTCATGGTTTGTGTGTATAAAAACGTCTTCTGTACTTTCAACAGAATGCATCCGATGAAGTGAGCTGTAGCTCACGAAAGCTTACGCTCAAATAACTTGGTTAGTCTCTAAGGTGCCACAAGTACTCCTTTTCTTTTTAGAACCCTTAGGTCCTTTTCTGCAGAACTGCTGCCTAGACATTCGGTCCCTAGTCCATAGCGGTCCATGGGATTCATCTGTCCTAAGTGCAGGACTCTGCACTTGTCCTTGTTGAACCTCATCAGATTTCTTTTGGCCCAATCCTCCAATTTGTCTAGGTCCCTCTGTATCCCATCCCTACCCTCATAGAATCATAGAATCTCAGGGTTGGAAGGGACCTCAGGAGGTTATCTAGTCCAACCCCCTGCTCAAAGCAGAACCAATCCCCAATTTTTGCCCCAGATCCCTAAATGGCCCCCTCAAGGATTGAACTCACAACACTGGGTTTAGCAGGCCAATGCTCAAACCACTGAGCTATCCCTCCCTCCAGCGTATCTACCTCTCCTCCCAGTTTAGTGTCATCTGCAAACTTGCTGAGGGTGCAATCCACACCATCCTCCAGATCATTAATGAAGATATTGAACAAAACCGGCCCCAGGACCGACCCTTGGGGCACTCCACTTGATACCGGCTGCCAACTAGACATGGAGCCATTGATCACTACCCGTTGAGCCCGACAATCTAGCCAGCTTTCTATCCACCTTATCGTCCATTCATCCAGCCCATACTTCTTTAACTTGCTGGCAAGAATACTGTGGGAGACCATGTCAAAAACTTTGCTAAAGTCAAGGAACAACACGTCCACGGCTTTCCCCTCATCCACAGAGCCAGTTATCTCATCATAGAAGGCAATTAGATTAGTCAGGCATGACTTGCCCTTGATGAATCCATGCTGACTGTTCCTGATCACTTTCCTCTCCTCTAAGCACTTCAGAATTGATTCCTTGAGGACCTGCTCCATGATTTTTCCAGGGACTGAGGTGAGGCTGATTGGCCTGTAGTTCCCCGGATCCTCCTTCTTCCCTTCTTTAAAGATGGGCACTACATTAGCCTTTTTCCAGTCGTCCGGGACCTCCACCGATCGCCATGAGTTTTCAAAGATAATGGCCAATGGCTCTGCAATCACATCCGCCAACTCCTTTAGCACTCTTGGATGCAGCGCATCCGGCCCCATGGACTTGTGCTCGTCCAGCTTTTCTAAATATTCCCGAACCACTTCTTTCTTCTCAGAGGGCTGGTCACCTCCTCCCCATGCTGTGCTGCCCAGTGCAGTAGTCTGGGAGCTGACCTTGTTCATGAAGACAGGGGCAAAAAAAGCATTGAGTACATTCACTTTTTCCACATCCTCTGTCACTAGGTTGCCTCCCTCATTCAGTAAAAGACACACACTTTCCTTGACTTTCTTCTTGTTGCGAACATACCTGAAGAAACCCTTCTTGTTACTCTTAACATCTCTTGCTAGCTGCAACTCCAGGTGTGATTTGGCATTCCTGATTTCACTCCTGCGTGCCCGAGCAATATTTTTATACTCTTCCCTGGTCATCTGTCCCATCTTCCACTTCTCGTAAGCTTCTTTTTTATGTTTAAGATCAGCAAGGATTTCACTGTGAAGCCAAGCTGGTCAACTGCCATATTTACTATTCTTTCTACACTTCAGGATGGTTTGTCCCTCTAACCTCAATAAGGATTCTTTAAAATACAGCCAGCTCTCCTGGACTCCTTTCCCCCTCATGTTATTCTCCCAGGGGATCCTGCCCATCAATTCCCTGAGGTTGTCAAAGTCTGCTTTTCTGAAGTCCAGGGTCCGTATTCTGCTGCTCTCCTTTCTTCCTTGTGTCAGGATCCTGAACTCGACCATTTCATGGTCACTGCCTCCCAGGTTCCCATCCACTTTTGCTTCCCCTACTAATTCTTCCCGGTTTGTGAGCAGCAGGTCAAGAAGAGCTCTGCCCCTAGTTGGTTCCTCCAGCACTGACAACAGGACATTGTCCCTCTATACTTCCCAAAAACTTCCTGGATTGTCTGTGCACCGCTGTATTACTCTCCCAGCAGATATCAGGGTGATTGAAGTCTCCCATGAGAACCAGGGCTTGCGATCTAGTAACTTCCGTTAGTTGCCAGAAGAAAGCCTCGTCCACCTCATCCCCCTGGTCCGGTGGTCTATAGCAGACTCCCACCATGACATCACCCTTGTTGCTCACACTTCTATACTTAATCCAGAGACTCTCAGGTTTTTCTGCAGTTTCATACCGGAGTTCTGAGCAGTCATACTGCTCTCTTACATACAGTGCAACTCCCCCACCTTTTCTGCCCTTCCTGTCCTTCCTGAACAGTTTATATCCATCCATGACAGTACTCCAGTCATGTGAGTTATCCCACCAAGTCTCTGTTATTCCAATCACATCATAATTCCTTGACTGTGCCAGGACTTCCAGTTCTCCCTGCTTGTTTCCCAGGCTTCTTGCATTTGTGTATAGGCACTTGAGATAACTTGCTGTTTGTCCTGCTTTCTTAGTATGAGGCAGGAGCCCTCCCCTCTCGCACTCTCCTGCTCATGCTTCCTCCCGGTATCCCACTTCCCCACTTACCTCAGGGCTTTGGTCTCCTTCTCCTGGTGAACCTAGTTTATAACCCTCCTCACTAGGTTAGCCAGCCTGCTTGCCAAGATTCTCTTCCCTCTCTTCGTTAGGTGGAGCCCGTCTCTGCCTAGCACTCCTCCTTCTTGGAACACCATCCCATGGTCAAAGAATCCAAAGCCTTCTCTCTGACACCACCTGCATAGCCATTTGTTGACTTCCACGATTCAACGGTCTCTACCCAGGCCTTTTCCTTCCACGGGAGGATGGACGAGAACACCACTTGCCCCTCAAACTCCTTTATCCTTCTTCCCAGAGCCACGTAGTCTGCAGTGATCTGCTCAAGGTCATTCTTGGCAGTATCATTGATGCCCACGTGGAGAAGCAGGAAGGGGTAGCGATCTGAGGGCTTGATGAGTCTCGGCAGTCTCTCTCTCACATCGTGAATCCTAGCTCCTGGCAAGCAGCAGACTTCTCGGTTTTCCCGGTCGGCGTGCCAGATAGATGACTCAGTCCCCCTGAGGAGAGACTCCCCGATCACCACCACCCGCCTCCTTCTCTTGGGAGCAGTGGTCATGGAACCCCCATCCCTAGGACAGTGCATCTCATGCCTTCCAATTGACGGAGTCTCCTTCTGTTCCCTTCCCTCAGATGTATCCTCTAGTTCACTCTCCGCATTAGTACCTGTGGAAAGAACATGAAATCAGTTGCTTACCTGCATCATACACCCCTTTCAGTGCGAAGGAAGGTAAATATTGGCCCTTCACCTCTTCTCATAACTAGATTAGCTCCCTATTTGCCACCTTCTATACTTTTGCCAAATATTAATCTCTCTCCCGTTATATCTCAACTAGAGTTACGGTGCCCCATACTCCAGCAAGGCAGCAACATCCTGGACTAGCCCTTTTGTAGAGTTGTAATGATCATTCTCCTCTCACTAAGTCCCAGGATCCAGTTTGTGAGATGTTGGTTTCACAGGCCATGTCTACACTATAAAGTTTAATCAGTGTAAGTTATGTTAGCATTCTGCCACCAAGTTTTGTATATTGCCCAAGTGTGTTTCACCGCAAGCCTATCCCCAGATCCTTTCCCTGATCAGAATTTCTGAAACTTGTGTTTGTAATGTCCTCGTGAAATCCCTGGGGCCAAGATTATGCCCTCCCCTTTCTGAGTATGACACATTCTGAGTTCAGTGGAACATTGAGAGAAAATTTAAGCAATCAGATTGTCTAATGCAGAGAGCATTAGTTCCCTGGAAAAGCCCTGTCAGTACCACCTGTAACCATCACAGCACCCAGATCTAGAATGCACAGCTTCTTGGCAGCCTCTTTTCCTTTTCAGATTCACCCAGGGAGGTGGTGTGGTCTAGCCAAAAGGAGTGAATAGATCAAAAGCTTCCATTACTGATTTCTGTGCTATAATCTTTCATGCCCACTAAATTCACTTTAAAAAATAAATAATTAAATAGGAAGAACTCATTTCTGGTGCTGTCTCCCAGCCAGGTTGGTACTAAGGTAATTGCTATCTCCGCTGGTTTGGAAGGAAAAAGAAGCCACAATCCACTGCAAATCTGATGGGTAACCCAGCCAATGGAATCTTTCATTTAATCAGTTCCAGGAGGCTGGATGAAGCAGGCTGCCTTTGAAAATGTAAGTTTGATTTGCCAATGAAACGGAGGTGGGAGGGGGGAAGTGAAGAGGATTTCCATCTTTAGCTGAAATTAAAAAAACATGGCAGTCACCAAGGCAAGCTTTCCCAATGAGATTAGGAGCAGCTGCCTCCAAGTCTGAGAATACTGCTGTGTCAGACGCACATCGCGAGCAGCTCCTGTTAGTCTTTAAGTGGCTGATGTATTTTCAGGCTTTTCTCAGGCTGCGTCTCTATCTTTTACAGGCCTCCCTGACTTAGTACCTGATCCAAACTATGTCCAGGCCTCCACCTACATCCAGAGAGCTCACCTCTATTCTCTCCGCTGTGCCGCTGAGGAAAAGTGCCTCGCCAGGTAAGGAGATGCGTGACTCCATGTTGCCAACTCTTGTGATTATACATGAGTATTGTACTATTTGGGGTTCTCCCTGAAGCCCCAGTTCCTGGAGTCAGGAGATTAGGGAAGAATCTGAACTTTCCTATATAAAAGAAGTTTCTAACCCTTGTGGTTGCAGAGAAAAGCTGGACAACTTAAAGGCTCAGAAACCTGAAGGCAAAGAAAAATAATCCAATTTTTTCAATCTCATGATTTTTAAACAATCTCATGATTTTTGAATGTTTGGAGTTCATGATACTGTTGTCGCTACCTTGGTATTAATGATGGGCCAGCCAAAAATCTGGTTGAATTTGGAAAGCTTCCGGTGTTAACTCAGAGGTGCGCAAATTTGGCCAGCAAAAGCACTAAACAGGAAGTCTAGGAGAGAATGAATCTGAGGATTGTTGTTTTACTGTTGTACAGCCCTTTTCTGCACATGTCCAGATTTCTGAGAAGGGACAAAAAATTTCAATGAAAACCATTTTTAATAGAAAAAAATCATTTGTGCCCATGAAAATCTACCTTCATTCACTGTGGATACAATGGAATGTGAAGATTCGTGTAACTGTTCTTTCTAGTTCATACACTGAATATATTGGTGATTGATATTCTATTAAATTAGAGGTTTCAGAGTAGCAGCCGTGTTAGTCTGTATACGCAAAAAGAACAGGAGGACTTGTGGCACCTTAGAGACTAACAAATTTATTTGAACATAAGCTTTCATGAGCTACAGCTCACTTCATTGGATGCATAGATAGATAAATAGATAGATGCCACCATCACTAATAGTCTCTGGAATTTACTTGGCATTTCTGTAGCTGCTTAAGGCAGTGCTGTGCTGAATATAATGAAACATTGCCTTTGCTTGGTGAGGACCAGATTCTGATACAGCTGGTCACATTGGGTAGTATCTTACTCTGTACATAGTGCCATTAACACCAGTGTAGTAAGGTGATGTTTGACAGGAGTAAGGGTATCAGAATCTGGCCTTAATTAAGCAGATGTGCCTTGGAATGCACAGTATTAGCAGATGCGGCTCATATATTAATGAGGGGCTGGGTTATTTTACGTGATGTATTTTTGTTCCCCTTGCAATGACTCATCTCAGCTTCCCTGCACTGTAAAGTTTAGAGCGCACATAGAATTGCAATCAGTTCCTGTGCTCAAAATGAACTTTGTGTGAAGGGCCCACTTGGAGCTGGGCAGCTGTTCTCAGCTGGACTCTTAGCACCACTTAAACCCAACAATTAAGCAATTGATGCCTCAGCCTTGTCATGCTCTGTATAACCCTTCTCCTCCAATGGGGTAGCAGAGCCTTTCCCTCCCCCTCCCCTGCCCTCCCTCCCAGGGGCAGGTTATGACAAGCTGAACTGAGCAAATAATGAATTTTTTTGTTTGGCTGAAGAAAAGACGGGTTCAATTAAAACAAAAACCATGTTTTTCAAAACATTTCATTAAATCAAAAACTTGGAAAATCTAATTTTGGAATGTTGCAGTTGTTTTGAAATTACCGGTAATCTGCTTTCAAGTTTTGTGTTCTGATTCAGCCAACTTCGTGTGTTTTCACCACCACCACCCCTTTGTTTTTTTTAACCAGCCACATTGGAAAAGAAAATGCTGCTTCAAACTGAATAGCTGAAACGAAAAGTTTTGACTTAAAATCAAACCCAGAAGGGATACATCAGCTTTAACCCGAATTCAGGAACAGTTTCTGAGCTAAAAAATAAAATAAAATGCATTTTTCAGCAAAAAAATCTATTCACTGAAAAAACTTCCCTCTGCTCCAAGTAGAAGCTCCATCCCTCAGCCCATCCAGTGCTCAGATGTCACCAGCTGTTTTCAGGGTGAAGTGACTTTCACCCATCTCCCCCATTTCCTTCCTTTTAACCCCTTCAGCACTGCCTACACCCCCGAGGCCACCGACTACGACATCCGGGTGCTGCTGAGGTTCCCGCAGCGGGTGAAGAACCAGGGCACAGCAGACTTCCTGCCCAACCGCCCCCGCCACAACTGGGAGTGGCACAGCTGCCACCAGTAAGTTGAGGAGAACTTGGCACTCCTCAGCAACTTACTAGTCCATCTCTGGGTGACAGGGCCTTGCCAAGGGGACCCTCCTTTGGTGGGCAGAGGCTGGTATCCAGCCGTGGGGAGCCACCCAGGCTGGTTCAGGGTGAGGCTCGGTTCAGTAAAGTAGCTTGAGTACATGCTTCAGCGTTTTGCTGAACTGGGATCTAGGTCAATATGCTGAGGATTAGAGCCACCCCTGGCTATAGATCAATGGACTTGCCTCCTCCATTCCCACCTTACTTTCCTCTCTCCATTTTCTCATTCCCTCACTCCAATCCTTTTTTTCTTTCTTTTTTCCTCTGCTCCTCTTTTCTTTCATCCTTTCTCTGCAATATTTATTTATCCCACCCCACAAACCCAAAACCATTTCCCTGCCAGCTCCTCCTCCTGTCTCCATGCTGCTCAGAGTGAGTATCCTGTGCTGATCCCAAAGGGTCAGGCCACATCATCACGGACCCCTGAACTGAGTGCCACGGGCAAAGAGAAGTTTGGGCTTCTAATGTTGTGACCTATGCATTGTGGGAGCAGGTGGCTTTCAAGAAGCCGCACACTCCATCGCTCAGAGCCCCAGCATTTTCTAAATGTGGGGTGGGGAGGATCTGGGATCCTGCCACTTTCCCTGCCCCCGCGCACTCCTGGGCTGCTCTGGTGCCCCTGCACCCACCCAGCATATATCTGTGAATATCGCTGTGGTACATGCTTCTGCCCTGGGTTTCCCCCAGGCACTACCACAGCATGGACGAGTTCAGCCACTACGACCTGCTGGATGCGGCCACAGGGAGAAAGGTGGCCGAGGGCCACAAGGCTAGCTTCTGCCTGGAGGACACCACCTGCGACTTTGGGAACCTGAAGCGCTATGCCTGCACTTCACATACCCAGGTGAGAGGAGGAGGAGATGTGTCCAACGAATTCAGGGCCACTCTACCGTCTGGCTGCAATTTAGTGCAGGGCTTTCTTCCCCGACCATCCCAGTCTCCCAGGACACCCAGCTGTGAGTGGGCAGGAAGAGTCACCTATGGGAGCTGCGGAAGGGATTAGTGAGTGTCTGGACCTGGTCAGGAATCTCCCTCACTCAGGGCATCATGCCAGTGCAGGGGTTACACCTCCCTCTGGAATATCAAGCAGGCTCAGGTGGGCATGTCCTATTGATTTCCTGGCACAGGCACTGGAGCCCTCCCCAAAGGGCGGGGAGGTCGATCCCACCCCCTGCGAAGCCAGAGGGGCGCCGGGGAGCGAAAGCAGCCCCCTGCCTGTGTCCCGGGCTCCCCGCCCGGGGCAGGTAGAGGGACCCACGCTCCCCACAGCTGCCCATGCAGCTCTCCCCAACCTGGCTCCAGCCCAGGAGGGAGGGGGGCTCGGAATCGTAGCCCAGCCATAATAAGAGCCAGGCGGGCAGCTGTGCGGAGCCTGGGTCCCTCCACCTGCCCTGGGCGGGGGACACGGGCCAGGGATGCCCTCAGCAGCCCCCCACACTCCGAGCAGGTGGAGGGACCCAGTCTCCGCACAGCTGCTGCCTGGGCTCCCTAGGTGGGCTCCCTCCACGCTAGCCTGGCTGTGGGGGGGCTGGCTTGGGGGGGAGAGGAGGGGAAGGGTCGGAGTCCACCCCGGTGAAAAGTGTACCAGCCAGGCCCCACTTCCCCGGTTCTGGCTCCTCTGTTTCCTGGGCTTGCCCAGCGCAGGGAAAGGAGAGGCACCCAGGGCAGCAACATCTTTGGCTGAGCATTCGGTAGTGCTTTTGTATGTATATATCTATATAGGATTAGTCTGCACTCCACGCTTGAATCTTTCTGATGCTCAGATATATAGGGCTGAGCAAAACACAGATGCACCAATTTTTCCTGAAATGAAGTAAAATAGTTATTCCAGATGGGCACAGCAATCCACTCCAGTATTTTCATATAGCCATCACAGGCATTACATTTGCTGGACAGTCCTCAGACTGCTTGTTCCCTTCGCATTCAAAATGCCTGAACTGGATGATTGTGTCCACCAGGAATGGACTCTGCATGCAGACCTTGGGAAGGAGAAAAACCTGAACTAGATTCCTTTGCCCACATGGAATGGACTCTGCAATACAGCTCCTGGGAGAAAAACATGTGTTTTGCAATAGTAAAAGTTGCAGACTAGACAGGCCACCTGCACAGAATTGAGCAGTGTGGGTAATTCCTGAACATATTTCTATATAAAGAAAGAGAGGGAACAACAGAAAAGGAAAAATGAGAAATGCTAAAGATAAAAAGCAAAGTCCATACCCTGTGTTATGCAGGAGGTCAGACTAGATGAACTGATGGCTCCGTGTGGGCCCTATGAATTGTGAGCACTGCTCTTTCCTTTTGTCAGGGCTTGAGTCCCGGTTGCTATGACACCTACAATGCCGACATTGATTGCCAGTGGATTGACATAACAGACGTTCAGCCTGGAAATTACATCCTAAAGGTTGGTTTCCCTGTATGTAGAGCTTCTCTGTACGAGCCATTGCCATGGATAGAGCTAGGCAGTTACTCGTGAAATCCATGGTGAATTTAGTGCTGGATTTTGGTTTGTGTGTGTCCACGGCCCCATTGCTAGTCCCCTTGGTTGTGAACATCCATCCTCAAAGCATGTGAATAATATGGCTGATCAGACATTTGTTTGAGGACAGAAGCAGCTGCACGGAGGGCCCAGTCACAAGCTACACATTGGCAATTAGAAGTAACAGTGGGAGTGGGGGAGAGGTATGAAAATGAAACAATAGCTGGTAACCCCAAGAACAGATGGAAAGAAAGCCATTGTGTACTCATACTCAAACACATTTTTAGGACCAAATTAAGCCCTGCTACGAGTGGGCACAATGCCATTCGGTTCAAGGGAAGCTAAGCCCAATTACACCAGCGCTGAATTTGACTCTCTTTGTTTACAGCTTTCTTTTTTTGACCATTTGCTACAGTGAAGCAAGATGGTTGCATCAGGATAACAAACTGTTTTCTTGGAAGAAAGTGGAGGTGTTTTACCTGTAGAAGAAACCATAAAAGTAGAATAGCAAAACTGCCCATGATAGTTTAGTTCCCTAAAAGGAATAACACCCACACCAACCCCGTAAATAATGTGCATTTTTCATTGAAAAAAATTCTAGTTGTACATTATCATGTGTTTACAGTAAAGCCCAGGGACTCGCCAAGAACTGGGCCCCATTGCACTAGGTGCTGTACAGCCACAGAGTAGTAGCTAGTCCTTGTCCTAATTTACAAGCTAAATAGACAAGTTAGACACAAGGGGTCTAACACACAATTACATCTCTCTCGCTCGCTCTCTCTCTCTCCACTGACTATCAGAGGAACTGTTTCCTGATGTGGTCTTTGTCTTGTTTTCTCAGGTTCAAGTGAACCCCAAGTACCTGGTGCTGGAGTCTGACTTCACCAACAATGTTGTGAGGTGCAATATTCACTATACTGGACGCTACGTTGCCACTACAAACTGCAAAATTGCCCAGTAAGAGCACTGGTGAAACTCTCCCACTCCTTGTGTGTTTGCCTGGGTTCTTCCATTGCTGTGGTATCCAGGCATCTCACCTCTTTCTTTTTCTGCCTCCATCACTTCTTGGTGGTGTAGACTTACAGATCAAAAGGGAAATGTAAGGATGGAGCTGCCAGGGAGCTGCTGTTGGGGAGGGACATGGGAAATGCAGAAATGGTACTTGAATCAGGGGTGGGGAAAGGGTCTTTCCAGAACTAGACCTGAGGGTCTAGTGCAGCAGTTCTCAAACTTCATTGCATCATGACCCCCTTCTGACAACAAAAATTACTACATGACCCCAGGAGGGGGGACCGAAGACTGAGCCCACCCGAGCCCTGCCGCCTGAGCCCCATTGCCCCCCGTTGCGGGGGCAAAGCTGAAACTCAATGGCTTCTGCCCTGGGCAGGGAACATGTAACCTTAGCCCTGGGTGGTGGGGCTTGTCCTTCAGACTTGCTGGGGCCTAGGGCCAACACCAGTCTTGGCGACCCCATTAAAATGGGGTCCCAAGCCACAGTTTGAGAATCCCTGGTCCAGTGGAGCAACAGTTGGCACCTGAAATGGAGTTGTTCTGTGTCCAGCTGCCACCTTCAGAATAATCTGCTCCCCAAGCAGCCCTTTGCCACAGAACAAAAAACAACTTGCTCTGCTCCCTTATTCAGTGTTAGGCTGTGGTCTCATCAACACCATTCCCGTGAGATGTCTGCGGGATTCCTGCCAGGCACTGCTACGGGTCCTGGGAGCTGTTTCCCTCGTCAGTGCTCCATGCCACAGTGGGACAGGATGCCTTGCCGGCATTCTATGAGTTGTGAATCTCAATTAAACTCACAGGCTGAAATCCTTGCCCCATTAACATCAATAGGAGCTTTGCCATTGATTTTAGGGGGGCCAGAGTTTCATCCATAGGTCCTCCAGATCCCAGGGAAGACCAGGCTGTATTGTATGGGATCTGGGATTTCCAGATTGCTCTGTAGCTTTCTGGTGCCTAACTCCCTCTCAGGATCTGGGCCATGGTGGGTGTGCTAGTTGGCAGCTGAACCTTAGCTGGGCTACCCCTCCCTTCACATAACAAGCCACAATAAAGTTACTCCCATTTTTCCACTGAAACTTTTTTTAGTGGAAATTAGCTTTTTGACCAAAAATTAAAATATTCATTTTGGTCATTATTATTGCAGATTTTCTGTGCACACTTTCAGTAAACATTTTAGTTTTTCAGTTTAGTTTTTGGTTTTCAAAGATTGAAAATTTTTACCAAATGCATGTTTGCCATAATAAGGGGTCGGGGGACAGAGATGACACAGGACTTTTTTTTTTCCCCTTCCTAAAAATAATGAGCATTTTCCAACCAGTCTGCCTGCTGAGTGCTCTTATTTTCCTCTTGCAGGTCGTGATCCACACAGGGAGGGGTGCATGACACCTGACCCCCACCTCCCAATCCAAATTCAATGCTTTCAAGATGGCATTTGAGATGTCAGCTTCTGAGGTGCATGATACAGTGGGGCATCAGACGTTTGTCCATTCCAGCAGCCCCTGGAGACAAAAAAAGTATTTCTCAATTTTAAGAACATGAGGGAAATGAGAGTGATTATTTTAAATATTTTTATACTTAACTTTTCTTCAATCTTTGGGGCTTTTCTCTGTTTCCACGTGGAGTTTGCTGATGATTTAGGTGAAATAAAACAAGGGTTATTACTGTACCAGGCACTACCAATATCTGTAGATTACATGCTATATCGGTAGATAGCTCTATAGTCTAAACTGTGCCCTGCTGTACAATATGGGGCTGTATTTTTGTGCAGGTTTGCTAGTGACATTACAAATCCTAGCCCCCAGCCTCACAGTAAGAATACAGCTGTAATCTGGGTGTATTTTATTTTGTATAATCTGACACCAACACACTCCAAATAGGAATTAAGGTGAAAAGTTTCAAATGCGACCTCTGGTTTTGTCTACGTTCCTGAGTGCCCAGTCTAAGACTTCTAGGATCTGATTGTCAGAGGTACTGAGCACCTGCAGTTCCCATTGCCTTCAGCTGGAATAGTGGGTATTCAGGGCTTCTGAAATCAAGCCCAAATTGTTCTGTTTTAGGACACCCAACGTTTAGCCAAATCTCTAGGGCTAAAATCTTCTTTCAGTACCTGTAATGTTACAAGTCATTGACCCAGGCCCCATTGTGCTAGGTGCTGTTCAGATACAGAACAACAAACTGGTCCCTGTCCAAAGAATTTACAACTTAAGTAAAGCAATGCAACGTCACTCAGTACTGACATCACAGTCAGAGGGCACTGCATTTAGCCATATAAAACAGTCAGAGGGGTTACTCCTGATTTACACTGGTGAACGTGAGATCAGAATCTGTCAGGGAGTTTTAATTTTTATTCAGTTTAAAGGGATGCTGTCAACTGAATATTTATATTTTGTTTAAAAAGCCGGAAGGGATTAAAAAATACCTAATATGACTGGAAATATCTTAGTTTATAATTTAAAAGAAAAATAATAATCACATCAGGTTGTTTTATAATTTTTTAAAAATTAGTGTTAAACTTTCCCCTACAGCGTTGTGAATCCAAACACCAACAGGACAGGGGGATTGTGACAGGCTTCCCACAGGGTGCCACCTGGAACTGGGGTACCACTGAGCCTTCTGACCCACAAGCCTGGGCTCTCTCTCACACTGTACTGCTGTGACAAGCTGCAGATATGCTCCTGGTCTTACATTTCCACCAGCATATACAGAGGTAGGAACACACCCAGCTGCAGTTACATGCAGGGTCTCTGACTAGCCACTGCACAAACCAACAGTAGAAAGGCTAAAACCAAAGTAACTCTCAGCTCCCCAGTCACCACCCCCCTCTGGAGCATAAACCCAAAATTATACTGTCTTGCGCTGCACAGGGAACTACAGCATAAGCTCATAGATTTCTCCACTTCCCCCTCAATGTGGAGAGGAATATACAACAGCCTATCTGAGCTAAAATTCCTATGCACTTCATTCCAAACTCACTGGTTTAGATTAAAACGTAAAATAAATTTATTAATTACAAAAGATAGATTTTAACTGATTATAAGGGATAGCAAACAGATCACAGTGGATCTAGCAAATAAACAAAAATGCAACCTAAACTTATTATCCTAGAGAGATTGGATATGAATAGCAGATTCTCACCCTAACTGATGGTACAGACTTGTAGATTCTTAAGGCACAAGCTGCATTAGCTTTACATCTTGGGTTTCTCAGGTCTTCATACACAGGCTAGAAATCCCTTTAGCCTGGGTCCAGCACTTCCTCCAGTTCAGTTTTTGTTCCTCGGATGTTTCCAGGAGTCTTCTCGTGTGGGAAGTCACTCCATTGCCTTATATAGCTTTCGCATATGAGATGAGGTCACTCCATTGCCTTATATAGCTTTCGCATATGGTGGGAACCCTTTGTTTTAAAACTTGGTTCCCAGCCCAATCTGTGGAAAAATACTAACATCTGGAGTCCAGAGACATGTAGTCTGGTCACATGACCTTGCAGTGTTATAGCAGCCATTGCTTACAGGCTGGTCAAAATGCCTACAGGAAGATTAAACATTCCACAGTCCATTTTTTTGCTGATGGGTCATCAGCCCCGTCTGACTTCTTCATTGTTGTACCTGAAAGGCTGGCTGTGCGTGTTTTCCAGAGTAATCCTGTAGCAAGTCGCTGACTCACCAGCGTGGCACCTCCTGCTGGTCACCCGGGAATTAGCTCAATTCCAGCACTCAGAGTGCCTCCTGCTGGCCAGTGTCCCTCCTGCCCCAGGCCCCATGTCCCTCCCAGTCCCCGGTGCCCCTTTCCTTGCAGTGCTGCCCTGCAGCAGTGCCCCCACACTCTGGGTCTCCCCTCCCAGGGGAACCCCCTCCCTCTATGCCCACCTTGCCTCAGTGACTACTGCCAGTCGTCATTTAGCCCCCTTTCTCTGGGACAAACTTCAGTCTGTAATGGCCACTCATCATTGGCAAGGGGGTTGGACCATCTGCCTCTGCCTATCCCCGGCTGCACCTTTAACAAGGCCGCAACTGGAGCTCTCCAGCTCCTGTTGCCCTTCCCCAGCATTGCTCTGCTTCAGGTACCCTGTGCTCCCAGGCAGCTAGGTCCTTCCCACTCCAAGGCTGGCGTGAGTAAATTCAGTGTGACTACGCTAAGGGGTACTGCATTAAGTACCCCCAGGATATGTCTATACCACAAAAGCTGTGCAGGGCCAGTCTACGGGGTTAGCATGAATCCAGCTAGAATGGCTAACAATAGCAATGAAAACAGCACAGGGCAGGTGTACAGCCCCAGCATGAGCCCTGGGTATGTACTCAGCTTCCTAGCCCACGCTGCACTGTCTTTCTGGTTGTTGTTACCTGCACTGGATTCGAGCTAGGTAGGTTATGCTAGGCTGTGCACAGCTCTTGCAGTGTAGATACACCCTAAGTAATACTATTGCAGGGACAGCTGCAGCTGCATATGGTGTTATAGTTCCCCAGGCTCCATAACGGAGGAGAGGGTGGGCCTCAGAACGAAGCCTCGGAGCCAAATAATACCCTGTCCCCCCTGAACTTTGGATCTGAACCCAGGCTTTGTGAATCAGGACCGAGGCTTCTGGTCTTGCGCCACAACAGTATTGAGTAGCCTAATGAACCCATATGTGATCAGTGAAAGGTTTAAAGCTATTACAGGTTATACAGTGCAGCTATATTTGTGAGCCAACCAATGAAATAAAATCCTTTTTCAATCACTATGATGCAGGAAATTAGCATTATTATTGACGTACCAAGCGCTCTTTGCCATTGTATCTGATACTATAATATATGGCAATGACTAGCAGAGCTGTTAAAGGACTAGAGCTACCCTGGGCTGAGTTCTTAACCATCTGCCTGATGTGACATGGATGGCCCCCGCTTCCACACTCCCCCCTTCCCCTCCGTGCTGGATCAGGAATGAAAATGAGGAATCCACTTATCAGTGACTCTGGAGAGGCTCCTCTGCATTACGTTTAGAGGTAGGCTCAAGCAGCAATGTTTGGCTCCAGGTCTCAACCTTCCCAAAGTTCAGGAGAGTTTGGCTCTGGGTTTTGTTTTGGGCCTGTCTCCGGGTAGTCTTGAGCAAAGTAGTGAGAACTGGAACAGAGCCACCTGGGAGCTGCATGTTGCTGTCAGCACTGGAGCCAGAAGGAATTGATTGCTGGCATCATGTGAGCTTGATCTCCATGCTGCTTCCGCAGCAGAGTCACCTGATGGATGCTTTGTGCCACCATGCATCTTGCATGGCTCTAGGACCACTCTGGAGATGTTGCACAGACCCAGTGCAATCTCAACAGGCTCCAATCCGGCCATGCCCATCCCTCCCCCCGCACCCTCCCCCAGACCTAAATTAATCCCCAACCTGGAAAAAAGAGATTGCCCCATAATTCATCCTGCTGCTCCTCCTGTTTCCACCCATGCCCCAGCGCTCTCCACTTCCTCCATCTCCCCTCCTAGGCAGAACACAGGAGGGAGAAATCTTAGCTTCGTTTCCCGAGGAGGGGAGTGGGGTAAAGGTATCAGGAGACCCCACTCTTCTTCATTTTTGCTCTCTCCATGGATCATTGGGCGCAGTCCAGGGCCACCCAGGGTGGGGGCAAGTGGGGCAATTTGCTCCAAGCCCCGGGCCCCGCAGACAGGTCAGGCGCAATTTCGGCAGCAATTCAGCAGCGGGTCTTTCAGTCCCTCTCTTCCTCGTCGGCGGCACTTTGGCAGCAGCTCGATCGCTCCGCTTCAGTCTTCTGTGGCAATTCAGCGGTGGGTACTCCTGTCCTCTTCTTTCTTCGGTGGCATGACTTGGGTTTTTCTTTTTTTTTTCTTCGCCGCTCGGGGTGGCAAAACTAACTTTTTTTATGGATGGAGCCCCTGAAAATGCTTTGCTCCAGGCTCCCTGAATCCTCTGGGCGGCACTGGTGCAGTCAACCTCTCTTCTTTCCTCCAGCCAAAGGTCTGTCACCTCTGACGTACCCCATGGATGCCTGGACTTCACAACCATAAGCAGTGAGAGGACTCAGCTTCTCCTGCACAATATACACAGGCCTCTACTCCCTAAACTAAAGGAGACTCTTCATTTGCTATAGTAGGGCTTTCATCAGATCTGTGCCTCCAGCCACTAGGCAGAGCCATGATAATACTCACTCAAAGCAGTTCTGATGCCATCCACTAGAGGGCAGTGGTACACAGACACACTGTGCACATGTTTCAGAGTAACAGCCGTGTTAGTCTGTATTCGCAAAAAGAAAAGGAGTACTTGTGGCACCTTAGAGACGAACCAATTTATTTGAGCATGAGCAGCTGGTACCAATCCCCCTGGTCTCAGCGTGCCTGCAGAGCAGAGATAGGCAAAGCTTGAGAGGGCTGATATGAGTAAACAGCCACAAGTACAGCAGAACCACTGCAGTCTAGAAATATGCTGAGAATCTCTCCCAAGATGTGGTTTCCACTAGGCCGTAAATCTGTTGAGCAGAGTCCTCATTTTGCTTTCGATCCCCGCCAGAAAGCAGGATGCGCAGGGGCCTGGAGGAAATGTAAAAAGGAAAATGTAAAACCTCAAGTTCAAAAAAGTTGGGTTAAGTGTTGGGTAAGGCTTGGGGCCTATTGTTACTTTAGGTTCCATCTAAGAAACCTTTAGGGCCCACCCTGGACAGCAAAGTTACATGAATTGCCTCATAAAGAAGGCTGGTGTGGGTCATACTGGAATTCTACTCTTGGCTTAGACAGGGGGCACGGAGCTTGCAGCATGTCCACTGTCTTGCTACCCAGTGTACATTGCCATGGCAATGGGAACACAGCCTCAAAGCTGCCCACTCAACAAACACACACAAAACCCTACCCAGAAACTGCTGCATCCATCTCAAAGCAGACCAGTGCAGCTTGGGCAGGGCAGTGGGGATAGAACTTATAGCAAATCCTTTTAAGTAGAGCTAATTGAACCCTGCAAAACAGTCTTGGTGAACATTGGTATGAATTCCAAAGAGCAGTTTGCACCCACCATGCCTACATCTTGCTATTTCATTCATGATTGCTTGTTTTTTTAAGGAACTGGCTGTTTTTCATCCCAAGACATGTAGTCAGAAAATTAACCAGGTGCAAACAAGAGTATTTGCTACTCATTAGTCTACTTGCATTTAAATATGGACCCCCAAGTGGTATATCCTTGCGGGCAACAGTTTTAGGAAGAAATCACTTGAGACACAGAGAGCTGAGCCATAAAAGCAGCCACATATTTCCACACACTGAACTAAGCAAACCAGCCAAAACTGGCTGAGCTATCCCCTAATAATCTAACTCAGTTGCCATAGCAACAACAAGATGCTATTACCACGACAACCAAATACACAACATATTCCTCCCCCCGAATAAGAACATCCCCTAAATAAAACAAACACTAAACTAGAGAAGGAGGGTAGCCTGCCTCCATTCCGGGCTAAACCCCGGGGATTATTTTGCCCCATAACTGCAGGTTCACCCAAGCTAAAGATCCAGCCATTGAGGAAGTCTTCTGCCTCTAGGTGGATTACGGCGAACTTCTGGTGTTGTTGCACCCAAAAGTACCTTGGGCGCAGGCCTGACGATGGGCTCAGGGTTTGTAGCACGAACGGGTGAGGAGGTGGTAACAGCTTGTTCCGGGCAAGGGGGTATCTCAGCCGCCGGCAGCAATGGAGCAGAACAGTCAGGAACAGGGTGATTCTTGATTTGGTGCCTCGCCAGAAGAGGTGAAGTCAGACAACTCAACGAAAGATGTGTCCTGAGGACTGGCATGACCTGGCAACAGCTGATACACATGTCACCTCCAGGTGAGAGTCTCTGCAGTCCGGACTGTGTAGAAAACAGGTCCTGTTTGAGCGATGATCATGGCAAGGACCCATTTAGCTCCAGAAGTATAATTCCAAGTCAAAACTGGCTATCCCGAGCTAAAGGTTCGGTCTTTTGCTCTGGGTGCACGTCTGCTGACTTGATATTGCTGCTGATGTTGCACAATTTGTCTGGGTTCAGAAGGTTTCAGCAGATCAAAGTGTGCAGCTGTCGTCCCAGCATTAGAAAGGCTGGGGATGCCTTGGTCGTAGCATGAGGTGTGTTTCTGTAGGAAAGTAAGGTGTCCAGACGCTTTTGAATGGAGTGTTGTCCCCTTGCTGATTTCAAAGCTTGTTTCATTGTCTACAAAAATCTTTCAGCTAATCCATTGGTGGATGGTGCATATGGTGGTGAAGTGATGTGGTGTATCCCATTTGCCTTCATAAAATTTTGAAACGCCTGAGAGACAAACTGTGGTCCGTTGTCGCTCACAAGTTGTTCTGGCAGACCAAAACAACTAAAGAGTCCCCGTAGTTTTTGGATAATAGAGACTTCTGGCCATTTAGAATGGGCATCTACCACCGCCAAGAACATGCTTCCTTCAAGGGGACCAGTGAAGTCAACATGAATACGTTGACATGGGTTTTCAGGCCAGTCCCATGGGTGTAGGGGCGCCCACTGGGGTGCATTCCTGACACCCTGGCATGACATACAAGCTCCTGCCTTCTCTTCTATAGCACTGTCCAATCCAGGCCACCAAAAATAGCTTCGTGCAATTTCCTTCGTGTGCACTATTCCACAGTGACTGGACATCTGTGATCTCAGTGGTGGTGGGATAATGACATGTCTCCCCACAACAAACAACCAGACTGGATCGATAACTCCATCCTCCTGGACATGTAGGTAATCAGGTCGGGTGAGACAGAAGAGGTTGGTCGCGATTTTCCATGCATCACCAGGTCCATTAACGCGAGTTGCCTTCTTTATCTGAGTAGCAGTGATGGGTGTATTCTCTACGAGTTCAAAGTAGTAGATTTCCTTTTGGGTAGTATCTTGATGTTTGACTGGCAAAGGCAACGTTGAGAGACCATCTGCATTGCCGTGCAGAGTGGATTTCAAATATTTGATTTCATATGTGTGCGCTGAAAGTAACAATGCCCAACGTTGCATACGACTAGCAGCCAATGGAGGAATGCCTGTGTAGGGTCCAAAAATTGACGTCAGAGGTTGGATGGTCTGTAAGAAGAGTAGGAGTACTTGTGGCACCTTAGAGACTAACCAATTTATTTGAGCATGAGTTTTCGTGAGCTACAGCTCACTTCATCGGATGCATACTCTGAAACCTGTAAGAAGAGTAAACTTCTGCCCAAACAGGTACTGATGAAACTTCCGAATTCCAAAAACGATTCCCAATGCCTCATGTTCAATTTGGGCATAGTTAGTTTCTGCTTTTCTTAGCGTGCATGAAGTAAAAGCAATTGGTCTCTCTTCTCCCAAAGGCATAATGTGTGACACGACCACTCCCACTACATAAGGGGAGACTTCGCAGGCAATTTTTAGGGGTAAGGATGGATCAAAGCGCGTTGGAACTTCAGAATTTAGCAATGCATCCTTAGCTTTGTTAAATGCAACATTACAGGCTTCAGTCCTCTTCCAGGTCTTGTTCTGCCCAAGGAGTTCGTGAAGTGGTTTAGCAGTGTGGCTAACTGTGAGATGAACTTTCCATGATAGTTCAATAGTCCTAGAAACGAGCGCAGATGGCTAACATTTCAAGCCAGGGGAGCCTCCATAATAGCCTTAAATTTTGCAGGGGCCTTATGAAGACCCGCAGCATCAATGATGTGTCTCAAATATTCAACAGAGAGCTGGAAGAATTCACATTTGTCTTTGCGGACTCATAGGCCATACTCTTCCAGTCTTTGTAGCG